AAAAAAAAAAAAGAAAAAAAAAAAGATTTCCAAGCTGATTATCGAAGAGCAGAAGAAGTAAAACAGCCTGTACTGTAGGTGCCTCCCCTGCTATTTTTAATAACTTCTTTTTCCTTTAAAAAAATCATCTGGGTTTATTGCAGCAAAATTGTAAAATACAGATAAAATTAAAAGGACAGCTGTTCCATAATTCCACACCCAAGATAACTACTATTAATATTATAATATACACATCCTGCCTGCCATTTTTTTGCACATACATGTATGTGGATGTATAAATACATATATGCACATATCTACATAGGTGATCCACAGAAGAGCAGTAGAATTGTGACTTCTTAAAAATAAAAATATATCATGAATATTTTTCTAGGCCATTAGTATTATTCCATAATAATATCTTGTAAGCTACCTATACTGTTATGTTGATGGGCATAATTTATTTAGCCAATCCTATAGTGGCTTCTTCCAATTATGCTCTTGCCACCTATTTGTATAAAACTTATTAAGGAAGCTCATGGCCATGCAGTCTAGGCATCAAAGACAACACTTCCTAAAGGTAGAAAACATATCTCTTGACTCCAACCTCTGGAAAAGCCTGGTATAGCTAGCAGAATCTGAGCTGGCTCTTCAAATAGTATGAATTATGGGGCCAATTGGGGGGTGGCTTGCCTGATGTCAGTCAGGTAAGTTTAAGGATGAAAAAAGAAGACCTAATATTCCAGTCTCTCAGCTGACACTGGTGACCATCTACCAAAGCTCTTCCTGCCTCTGCCTGAACTCTTGGTGCCTTGATTTATGTTATTTTAACCTCAGTTTAGTCATCCTGGCAATTGGGATAATAACAAAGCAATACCTGTAGTGATTAAAACATGTATTGATGTTTTATGTAAATATATATATTTTTTTCTTTTTTTTTTTGAGACAGAGTGTCACTATGTTACCCTCGGTAGAATGCTATGGCATCACAGCTCACAGCAACCTCAAACTCCTGGGCTCAAGCAATTCTCTTGCCTCAGCCTCCCTGGTAGCTGGGACTACAGGTGCCCTCCACAATGCTTGGCTATTTTTTTTGTTGCAGTTACCATTGTTGTTTAGCTGGCCCAGGCTGGGTTTGAACTTGCCAACCTTGGTGTATGTGGCTGGCGCCATAACCACTGTGCTACGGACACTGAGCCATAAATATATTTTTAATTTGCATAATAACATCAATCACTATGTAACACTTGTTAGGTACCAGGTATTGTTCTAAGTGATTTATAAATATTAACTTATTTCATCCTAAAAACAATCTTTATAGGTAGAAAATACTAGCAGCTCAATTTTACACATACATAAGCTAAAGTAAAAAGGATAGATCACTCGCCCAAGATTCAACAGCTAATGATTTGCTGAACTTGGATTCAAACCTATGAGACTGTCTACAAAGTCCCAGCTTTAACCATAATGATGGCCAACATGGAATCTAGAACATAACAAATGTACAGCAAATGTGTACCTGGAAGAAGACTTGCCAGGCTCCCTGGTACTACTGGGCTACACTGAGGCCATAGCCTCCCTGTAAGAAGACCTGCCAGGCTTCTGGGGATGCTGCTCCTGCTGCTCAATTT